GTAGGCCTGAAGGAAAATGACAATTTGTAGGGGAGTAGCAAAGTATTCCCGTGGGACCTCCCTTTTAAATGTTGATTGATTTTAAGCTGGAACTCTCAGGATTTGTTCCCAGAGACCAGAGAAAACAGAAGATTTTCTGGTGTAATTTTGCTTGTTTTCAAGCAGGGCAGAACCATTGTTATTTTTTTTTCTATTAAAACCCCTGTATGTGTGAGAAAATTCTCCAACTTCTTCATAAACTTCCATGTAACAAAAGCAGAATTTCACAGTAATGGATTTCTCACAAGGCCTGCTCTGTGATGGCTGGGAATAAGACAAATAAGTCCCACAGAAAACTTTAAGTAGTGATCAGCTATTCTCATTTCTATAAAACAGCTCTATTTGTGCCTCAGATATTGTGAGTTTCTTGTTCCAGCTTTTTTATTCATCATTAACATAAAAAAAAATTTTAAAAATCTATAGTGATGGTATTTAGATGGGTAGCCTGTGTCTGCTAGATTTATCATAATAAAACCACTGCAAACCAAATATTAAATGTAGTAGTCTGCAGAATTAAGTGGACAGAGGAATAGTCTAATATAACAAGTAAAAATAATAGTAATCCTTTAAAAAACGTAAATGATGCTGAAGTCTACTTCCCACTTTTAAATATTTGTCATCCTGAGTTTAGGCACTGAACAATTTGACATTAGGATACGTAAACCCTGAACCTCACCTAATGCTTCTCTCTCACATTGATTTTACCACGGAATTGAAAGTGTCCTTTTAAGACACGGCTGAGCCAGTCTAATGCCACTGAGAATGAGGAGCATGCTTTGCCTCCTTCCTTTGTTCTGTGTGTTTCTGTTCCCTCCCTTATGCCACCACTGTTATTTGCCTGACTTGAGGATGATGAGCAGTTCTCTGGGATGTAAATGAAGGGGAAAATTTTTGGTAAAGCTAATTTACTTGCTGATGACCTACTTCCCTAAACCACCTCCTGGGTGTTGTGGCATAAGTGGTGGGAAGGCATAGCACGGGGTTACAGACAAGAGAGCAGCCTGCCAAGTTTGGCAGTAGGCAATGTCCAAAATCCACAGATATATGAAAAATACTTGCTTTTAAAGGAAAAATATTCCACCCCTTTGATGACTCACTTCTCCTTTTCCTGTTATTCACTGATGGGAAGAAAGTAAACACTGCGAGCATACTACTGCCATTTCAGAACTGCAGATTCAAAGGGCTCTTCCAAATGCTGAGATATGCAGGAAAAATTACAGTAAATTACGCTACTCCACACATTGAATTGCTAAATAAAGTAGACCCATTACAGTCTGTGGAGATACCTCATATGGCTGCAATTGAATTATGAAATACAGCCTGAAATACTAAAATTACCTGTAGAGGCACAGTTGTCATATCAATTAAGCGAAGATAACACAAATCACAGGCTGTTGGCTCTTCTGATAAATAAACTATGCAAAAAATAGCTACACATGTTTTTCAATGACTGAAATTGGTATTTTGTGTATATCTGGTTTGTCTCCAATATGAACCACTTAGGTTAAAAGAAAAAAGAGTGAAATGAACAGTGTTAGAATTTATTAGCTTGCATGATCCGGCCTATAAATTTTCAGATAAAATGTAAAAGAAAAACAATTACTGGCATGTGTGATAAAGGCGTGTCCTTTAACATATTATCCTGAAGAGCACGAGTCTCACAACAGGAAAAGGAATTTTGTGTGAGAGCAAAGAAGAAGGTGTGTCTGTAATGAGGGTTTCACTTAATTTACTACAGCAGAAATATTTTGAGGTTTTTATGGGTTTTTTTGTTGCCTTTTTTTTTTTTTTAAATTTCCTCCAGGAATATCTAGATAATTTCAGCAAAGCAAACAACACTGCTAAGGGTAAAGTAGCTCCCTTTCCCTTTCACAGAGGGTACACCTACTGTTGTATGCTCTGTGACTTAATATGTACAAATTTGGATTCCTATTATTCACTTCTAATGGCCTTTACAGATGCTATATTTGTTTTTTTTTACTGCTCATCAAGTCTATTATTCAATAAATTGTAATTGCTTTTTACAATTGAATTATATTTTATATTGTGCATTATGATTGTCTAACAGACCATGAATGTTCCTGCAGACAGATTCCATAGTTTATTCACCTGCCACAGTAAAAAAGAAGGTATGGAAGATCTATGAGAATGGCCTGTGCATGTACCATGGGCCTTGTTGCCATGACCTGCGGAGAATGAAAGTTAAAAGCTGACTCTCAATCATCCTTTAAATCCTACTGGCTGGTTCAAATAAATTTCTGACTACTTGAATATTCTGGGGTCTGACTTACAGTCCAGGAAACATGTAATTCTCAACTGTTCCTCTAATCTCTTCCTCTGCCATGCCCATCCTCAGACCTCTAATTAATCTCAATGCTGTTGCTTTGAATCTTTACATCAAAATGAGGTTTTTAGCAAAATGTGCTTTCTCCTCAGAGCCTTTCTCCCCTCCTCCACATGTATGTGTAGACTCTATAGTTTGACCTCAGGTAAAAACTTCAGTCTCACCCAGGTAGAGAAATAGATATGACTGTGCTTTGAAAAAATACAAGCTATTAACCACACCAACCTTTGGACTTCAGGGATGTAATTCTGCATTTTGGCAGACCAAAACACCTTTCAGTACCATTTGGCTCTTGACAAATAAACAGAAATTTTTAGGTTTGTTCTTACAGGGAAAAAATCCATTTCAAATCCCTCTTAATAGAATGACCCTCCTGCAAACTGGCTTTGCGTGGAATTATGTAATTTTAGCAACGTCAGATGGTCACCCTTCATGAGGAACTCCCTCTGTTCCACTGCACAGATGCTGTAGTGAGTTGTTGCATGTCTGTCAGACCTTCAGCAGATAGCCTAGCATCCACTTTTCCCTTCATGCTTGGTGAGAGTACTGTGTTAGAGTGCTTTCTGCACTGACAGTGCCTTACATGTGAGAAGAAGAGAATTGTCTGGGTTTTCTGGGATTGATGCAGTTTTTGCACTCCCTGGTAACATAAGACTCTTTCCTCTGCTATATCCGTGGATGCTTGCTAGCAATGGACTGTAGTGGGAACTGTTTGCTCACTCCCAGATCACAGCACTATGACTAGGTCATATTTTCCTGTACTATTTTGGGATCTTTACCTTCACTTGGCTGTGAGAATCACCTGATACGATGTTACAGCTGGGTTTACTAAAAATGTATTTTGTTTTGCTGAACATATTTGTACCGTTGTTTTTTTCTCTTTTTTTTTTTTTTTATTTGGCTCTAGTTACCTAATAGAGCTCAATCACATTAATGTGTAAATTCAAAAGAACTGCATGAGACATAGCTTTAGGCTTGAACTCAGATTGCTTTGGTACAGCCTTATAAGTTAACGCAAAAGCTTAAATATTCAATTTGTAATCAGATTTTACTTCAAAAAATAAAGGTTGACTTACTGCAGATAGAGAACCATTGGTCTACTCAATGTTTCAAAGTGCAATGAATCAAAAGGTCATGACGAAGGGCAGTGACTGAAAGATGACTTCTTGAAGGCAACAGTGGGAGTGTCTCATGCAATATATATCACCAACAGCTCAGAGAAGCTGTTTGGGTTCAGCTGGCAAGCTGGACTATTGCATGCCTCTGAAGTTTGTGGGGTAAGTATTTCTCCAAGTAAAATATAATTTCTAATTTGTGTTCTTTAATATGGAAAAAAAAGTGATAAATTGTTTAAGAACTTAAAAGTAAATATAAAAAGACATCATATGTAGCAATTTTACCTTGCCTTGTCAATATATCATGTACTGTTTAACTGTCAAATACTTTTAGGTGTGAGAAATATGAGTGTTTGTGCACCATAGCTTTGAGTCGAAATAGCTCTTTTTCACTGAAAATCTGTTGTCACATTGAAACTGTTCTTTTATAATTTTAATAATTGCAAATAAGGCTATTTCTCTTTTCTCAATCTCACTTTCTGGAGGACCCAGGTGAGGTACAGTGTGATGATTCATGGAGTCTGTGATTCCACAGTCATTAGCTCCAGAGGCCTCTCAGGTCACATAATCAACCACACCTGCTCCAAACTATGGATATGCTCTATTCCTCCAACTTTGACTGTTTTAGAGATACAAGAAAAATAGTAAACTTTCTTAGCCTTAGATTCAAAAGAGAGAGCAACTGCATGTTTCAATGAATATCTTTTACATGTCACATACATCTGCATCTACAGGACTTGCACCCGACTGAAGAAATGCAGCTCTATGCTGTTTCAAGCTGTACTGCCAAACCCCATATTTAGTGTATATATATATATATATATATATACACATATGTATATATATATACATATATACACGTTTGTGCTTTTTCTGAACAAAAATCGTCAGTGGAGATTAAATGTCTCAAACAGGACTACAGGAAAGAACCCCCCTAAATTTATATTTCAGTATCTAAGCAACTGGCTGGGTTTACAGGGCAACTTACTCTTATTATTCCTATAAATTACAGGAAAGCAACCTCCAAATTTGTGGCTGGTTGAACTACGCATAGTAAGAAGTACACTAGGAAATGCAGAGAGTTGACTACTTTTGATTTAAAGATCCAGAGCATTTTCCAGAGCAGCCACAGAAGAAATGAAATATGAAGTTAGCATTATCTCAAACACCCCTCTGATGGCCATAGGGAAACTCATCCATTCAATGTTATATTTATCATAAAGAATAATGGTTGAAAAATCTATTTCCTAAAAGGCAAGTACAAGATACTATCTTGGTGATGAGATGGAATCTTGCTGAAAGAAAACAAATGTGTTCAGATGTAAAAATATTTCTAACAATCACAGAATTTGTAGGCTTCACATCATTCACTGGTTCAGCATCACAAACCCAGCAATGAAGTAACAGTTTCTGGGCTATTGGCAGTTCTTTTTAAAATAAGCGCTGCATATCACCACTATACAGTCATATTTCTGTTTGCATTAGATAACGCTGACTTCACGATGGGCTCCATCAGTGCAGCAAACGCAGAATTTTGTTTTGATGTATTCAAAGAGCTGAGAGTTCACCATGCCAATGACAACATCTTTTATTGCCCCCTGAGCATGATGGCAGCCTTGGCCATGGTCTATCTGGGAGCAAGAGGTAACACTGAGTATCAGATGGAGAAGGTAAGTTACATAAATGGGTACAAACTCTCTTTGATCCCATTCAAAAAGGCAGCAGATTACATCTGTGTGACTCCAGTTGAGGGGAGCAAGTCACATAGTCACCTTTGGCACTGGATTCAAACCTGCCTGGAAAAAGAATGGTGTTCCAAACTGTGAGGTTTGAATCTGGAGATGAGTTTTCACTTACAAATATATTTCCCCATGAAGGGCAAGAGCAACCTTTGGTTTTCATTAAGAAAGTGCAGTCTTGGAGAATGCTAAGGCAGGTCTCTTATTTCAGCTTATATTTTCTCATAGGCCTGATTCCTCCAAGGTGGGAAGGACAACTTGAAACATACAAAAGATTAAACATTCAGAAAACAAGAGTCACAGTTATAAATACAATGCACTAAGTTTGTAGCTGATTTATAGACTGAATGCCATTAACTGGAAGAGATCTAAGCTGAACATCATAGTCACAAGTTTTCAGTGTGGCACCTGGTTTAAAGCTCACATGAAATTTCTCAGTTCATCTATATGCTAAGCAGACCTGGTTAGTCAAAACCTACAGTTTTAACACAAACATCAGTGACTGTCAGTGGACTTTACATACCTAGTTTCCACTTTCAATTGCAGGTTCTTCATTTTGACAAAATTGCGGGACTTGGAAGTATCCAGACCAAGGTACAGAAATCTAAGGTACATTAATTTCTCTTTCACATTTTTCTCCTGAGAACAGACTGTTCTGATTGTGCTTTTGGTAGGTTCAACACCTTCCTTTGTAATTTTCTTTATTTGAGAGATGTAAATTAAAAAAATAATGGAACAAACCACCAAAATCCAAAGAACAACAGCAGCAAAACAAACACCAAGCAAGTAAACAAACAAACACACAAACAAAAAGACTAGAAAAAGAAGACAGGCTGTACATATTGCACCAGAACAAGTGACAGGACCAGATAGGATACTTTGGGCACCAGGCTACCTTCTTGTGTAAATGAGCTTCTGCACACCAGCAGGTGCTGGTGGGGGACAGTACTTGAAAGCGGCTCAGCACCTGGAGCCAGGGCACAGCAGGCAGACTTGCAGCTGAGACTCCAAAGTGGGACAGGAAGATACTTCAGCAGAAAAGAGCTCAGAATTCTCAAAGGATGGAACGTAACCACACTCTTAAAAAAGCTACAGGGACTTTTCCAGCCTCCAGTTGTCACTGCTATCCCAAGAGTACCAGGAGGCGTCCCAATACCGTGATACCACCTGTATGCTTTCTTCCGTGTTAATCTGCTACCTCTGTAAAGATAACACAAGCCATGGAGCCTGGCCTGTTCCCATTCACTTGGGATCCAAAGCACAAGGTGGGACTTAAAAAAAACAAGACTTTCCTTTTTTTTTTCTTTTTTTTAAATAAAGGTATTATTAGCTAGAGGATTTAGGGACTGTTTAAGCATTTGAAAAGGAGCAGTTCAACACAATTATTCTCATAAAATAAAGTCCCAGCTACTGTTTATCATTGTGCAGTTTTCTTACATGCTTTTAGCCTGTGTCACCTAGAACACCATTCTTGGCACATTAGACAGTTGACCCATTTTTTCTCTATGTTACAAGACACTTCCTGATTCCCTTCCTCTCTAGCTCTCTTCCACCTGCAGCTTCTGCAGAAAGCTGCCATAAAAATGCAAGCACCAGCTGTCAATTAGAGGCTCTCTATCTATGACAAGTCACCAATTGCAATAACTGACACCAGCATTTTTCATTTCTCCACCTCATTCCTGAGCTGTATGGTTTCAGATGCATCAGTGAGGTTTTCTGCTTGTTATCATCTAGAATGAGTGCCTTCATATGCTATGAGTGAATTGTAAATCATTAGTTGCTAATATATTGAACGTGCCTCCCATGAAACTCTTAGACTGTATTATACATTCATTTGCAAATGTTCAATCACTGTGTGTTTTCAAATGTTATTTGGAGGTTATAAATAATCCTCTTTCTAGTAAAATAACCCTCTACTTTTTTATCTTCTTATCAACAACTCAGTGTGGCAAATCTGTGAATATCCACTTTCTGTTTAAAGAAATTCTCTCTGATATCACTGCACCGAAAGCCAATTATTCACTCCACATTGCCAACAGGCTCTATGCTGAAAAGACAAGTGCAATCCTACCGGTGAGTGATTTCTTACTAAACTCTGTGTAAACCTGTAATCAGGAGGACTGGCCAGAGTAGGTGATCTGTTAATCCAACGGTCCCCACTGGTGTGGATTTACATGGCTTTTCCCTTTACCGCTTCCCTGGCAACAGTCTGAATGGAAAGCAATTTGAGGCAAAAAATATGGCCCTGTTCAAAAATGAATGGAGTAATAAACAAAATTATTTGGTAATGTAATTCCCCACTCCCCACTTGCTCCCCACTGGTTGTTTGTTTTGTTTTTTTCCCAAGAAATAATTTGACTTTGGCATATTTCTTCACTTGAAAGCCTCACCTCAAAAACAACTTCTGAAAGTGTCAAAATCTTTCTTTGATATTTTCAAAAGAAAAGAAAAGATAAAAAATATTCAAAATAAAAGAAACTTCTTATCTAAAAATAAAGGAAAAAATTTTGAAAAAAGAAAGTAGACACAAATATAGTATAACAGTCTGAAATGAACCTTAAAATAGGGAGTTTGGATCAGACTTTCTTCCAGAAAATATTTAAACATTTTTAATATATACTCTTAACTGGTCGAGTAACAGAAATTTCAGATCTGAAAATGTCTTGGGCTAGAAGAATTTTTCTATATCACTATAAAAATTCTATTAGCCACATTTTATTTCACTTTCATACTGTTTTTTAAAAAAAATACTATTTTGTTGGCTACAATTGATGTCTTTACAGATCTATGTAAAATGTGTGAAGAAACTGTACAGGGCTGGTCTGGAAATGGTCAACTTCAAAACAGCATCAAATCAAGCCAGACAGCGCATTAATTCCTGGGTGAAAAATCAGACAAATGGTAAAGTCACACAAGATTATGAAATATATTTCCCTCTGACAACTGTATTTTAACAGCTTCTGGAAAGACTAAACATTAGAGGAGAAATTTCCTCCTCCTCTCTCCATTAGTGGATATTTCCTGTGGAAAGTGATGACTCTATTGCACCTGTGTGCCAGTGACAGTGTGTTTTAAACATATCTGGCAAAGGCAGAGATGCCAGGATCTGCAAACTTTATATGTATGCTTTCTGTGTCTGGAGAGCTTAACTTACCCAAGATTAGACCCGGCTTCTCTAGAATATGGGCATAATTATACAAGGATATGCTGTATGGGTAAGAAGTGGGCTTCCAGGGCAGAAAGTAATGCACACTAAGCTGATGGTGGGAAATGAATGATTCAGAAGCTGGTATGTGTTCATCATGTTAAGGTGGAGGAAAAACCAAGAGTAAATTGTGAGAAGGAAATACAGCGAGAAAGAGAAAATCTATATTGCTGCTTCCATCTCCGTTCCCTTCTTTTCTATATAAATCTTTTTTTTCCAAATCACTGGTTAGAAATATCCTTGAGGATCTATAACACTCTTGAACCTACCTGTCTTCTTGAAGAAATGTCTGGCCATATGCCAATTTTCAGTGTATTAAATCATCCTCATGAACCTGAAATCCACGTGCACACCTTTGAAGAAGAGAAAGTCAAGTCAAGCAGCAGCATGTTGACTGACATCTAAAATGCAAGATTACTGCTATGAAACTTACCACTCTATGCCCTGCTTCTTTTTTAAAGGACGTATCCAAGATTTGCTTGAACCAGGCTCTGTTGATCTCCATACTGTGCTGGTCCTTGTGAATGCCATTTACTTCAAGGGGATATGGAAGAGTGCGTTTAACGAAGAAGAAACTCGGGAAGTGCCCTTCAGTGTGACAAAGGTGGGGGGCACAGACACAGCTTCTGACCAGGGAGACAGGCTATTGGCTTGCACAAACAGTGGGCTGGGTGATGTAAAGACAACATTCTCTTGTCGTCGGCCAAGTGATTTAGCTGGGCCCCTCACTGTCAGATTTGCAAGATCTGTGTCTGACCAGAGCACACAGCAGATGAGAGGAAAATGGAGACACAGCTCTTCTTTAAAGGCAAAAAACTTGAAGATCAAACTGTCTCTTTCAAAGGGCTTGTACATTTGACTGACCAAAGAAAAACATTGCT